CATGACTTCTATGACTTTCATAGAAGAGAACTGGGGTGAAATCCCCCCAAGTGGATGGAAGTCCCATTATAGCAAGTGCAGCACAGCAGTCACCACTTCTGAGTAGCTAAGGGGCTATGGCTTTTGACTAAAATCAGCTTTTCCCGTGTCAGTCCTTTGCACAAGCCCCTTTTCTTTCATTTAGCCAGTATTCCTTTGCCAGCAGAAATTCCTTTTCCCCCCTTTCCCACACACAATCATTTTGCTCCGAGTTCTGGAGTAGGGACTTGTTTTTGCCCTATTTGCCATTAACCTATCCTACTTTCTGACACTTCCCTGAAACATCATCATAATACTTCCTGCCTTACAGATCTCTCCCGGCTGCGTTCCCAGAGTATCCGTGGTATACCCAGATGAAAGTTGGACAATATTGTGATTCTTGGATACTCTTGTGAATGTTTTGTTTCATCTGTCTGTGTAATTTGTATCTGTCCTGCTATGTGTCTCACTTCAGGGTCGAATTTCAAAAAAGCCCATAATACAATGGGAAAAAGTCACATCTATGTCTCTGTGCTTGGCTTAGCATCAGAATCATGACTCTTACATGCCTGAAATCTAGGGGCAAACTTAGCTAGAAGGCTTACTAAAGGCTTACTAGATCATTCACTCAGCCTGGTCTGAAGGAATTGTGGATATTTAGGATTCACATCCTGCCAGCCACAAATCAGTACCAGCTATACTGGTGGGTGAGTGTTTGCTGAAGACAGACAAGCCTAAAGGATAGACCTGGGTTATTTGTAATTTATCCCTGAGGGAAAGTCAGAGACCCTAACAGCTAAAGCAGCTAAAGAGAAACTGTCATACCCAGGGCTGATACTTGATTCAGCCACCCATACCTTTGACCAGTCCTTAATGACCTTTGTGCTTCAGATCTTAGCCACATAATAGGGTGATATTGCCTTTCTTTGCAGGTGCCATCTGAGAAGAACTCTGTGCTGGACAGTGCAGCAAGGGGCCCCACAAATGGAGTCTGTACAGAGCAGAGATTACGTTTATTTTACATGGTATTTGGCCCGTTGCATGAAGGGGGCAGTCTGCTTGTAGCCAGACCCTCAGCTGTTCTGTAACCACATCTGCTGAAATAGTTCGAATGTTGGCTGGCAACGATGTCTGCACTTCGTCAAAGAGAACATTTAAGGAAGTTCAGTTGCGGAAGTGCTAGAACTATGTGCTTCATAAGTACAACTCTGAGGAGTAGGTCCCTCCTGGAGAGACAGTGTGCATGCATGTGTGCTGAGACGGGCATCTCAGCCCATCGCGAAGTTTCGTCTAGGTGACCTTGGGCTGAGCTTCTCTTGCTTGTTTGGAGAGCAGTTGATTTACAATGCAGATTTGTCCGTCCTCGCCTGCCTGTCCCTGCCCCTCCTAAATTTGGCTGGGATATGAGGCTGTTTGCTTTCTGATGCCAACAGTGGCAATGGCAGAGAGCCCTGCCATATGAGAGGCAGAGATAGAGGAGAGGGAGCCAAGGAGGAGCGAACCGTGCAACTGCTATTGCTTCTGGTAGCTGAGGGGCACATCTGCAGAAGAGAATGTCGATGCTTTCCCCAGTCCTGCAGCCCCCAGAGGTGAAGGAGTATCTATCCAAGGGTGAGCGCTTCATCAAATGGGATGATGTGAGTACCAAGGTTTTTGCTGGACTAGAGTGTATGCATGGTGGCAGGGCAGACCTCAAGTTTTGGTCAGGGCTTGTGGGGAGGCTGGGGGCATATATTCAGTGTGGGGGATGGGGCACTCTAAATATGCGTGTTGTACCAGTTATGTCTGGAGAGGCAGAGGGAACTGAGAGGAGCAGGAGAGTTGATAGTTAAAAACAAGGGAGCATATATATAATTTCTCTACCTCTCTTTACTGTGGAGGTCAGAAGTAAATGCAGAAATGTGCCACTGGGTCTCAGTTCAGTGTGCGGTTTCTCTGGGGTCCTGTCTCTGTGAGCCAGTCCTCAGCAAGACAGCCAGTGCTAGGAGCCAGATGTCTCCTTGTGAGAGAAGCACACGCTGCATTCAGACATATCTGGTGGGAATGTGAGGGGTAAGATTTACTCATTAGGAAGACTCTCTGTGCTTTACGGATGGAGAGGAAATCGGGCTCCAAGTTACTTTCTCTTACGGCCCTGTTGCTGGAGTGGATCAGAGGGTGAGCCATGTCCTCCCACTGCTGCCCAGCCTGTGGGTCTGTAAGCTACCAAATACATAGTAGTCAAGCAGAGAGGGGCCTGTGCTTTAATAGCACTGGGGGAGTGTCCTGCCTCTCTTCCATTCTGCACTGTGCACAAAGGCTTGATTCGGGGTGGGTGCTGTAAAATGCTGCTTCTCTATCCATCTCAGTTTCTTCCTGTATCTTCAAAATATCTGGTTTGCATTCTCTGTTTGCCTTTCATTATGAGGGGAGGAAAGCGTGGAACAGGAGAAGAGAAATAATTAATTTGGGAACTCTCCCCTTCAATCTAATAGTCCCCCTCCTCACTTTCTAAGAAGGTAAAAGAGGATTTCTGCCAATACCTACTCACCTAGGTGAGGGAAAGGCAGCTGCCTATCTCTCATCTTGAGTTCGATCTCTTTGTGCTATTGAGAGGAGCGCGAAAGTTAGTAAAACAGGGGGCAGCTCAGGTTATGATTGTTCTTCAAGATGTTGATGTGGTATTGCAAATGAAACACATTAGAAGGATCCTCCAGCAGCAACGCAGGGGGGGATTAGTATAGTGCTTACTTCTGTGGGCGTGGAGCTGGCATAGAGTTTTAAGATCCAAGGCAGTGTGAGCAGAGGAGGTAGTTCATTTCTGTGCAGCATAAACAGGAGTCGTTTAGCAGCACTAACAAATGAGAAGGTAATATGATATACTGCTAACAGAAAGGAAAGGTGCTGAGGAATACAGGTTGGAATATCACTATGCAGAAGTTCCACTTGTCCTATATAAACAGGGGGATGAGGCCAAGGTTCAGTGAGAAGTGCACCCTTTCCTTTCTTTCCAATGGGACCATTGCCTGCAGAATGAAAGTGTGCTGCCTTTGATGAGTTTGAACAGGGATTTGGTTTCTGAGAATAACAATAGCCAAACTTGCCAAAGCAAAGGCTGGGCTTTGCAAAAAGTTGCTGCTGACTTTCTATGCTTCAAGCTTGGGGGACCACTTTCCAAAAAAACTTGAAGCTGTTTCTTCAAGTACTTCATCTGGAGTTGCTGGGAATTTCAGACTCTCTGGAAACTCAAGGTGAATCAAGTTAAACTTTCTAGGCCCACAGTGTTTACTTGATGGTGAAACCATGGGAATTAGGGACCTCAAGTCCTATGTGGATTTTTGCCTAAGGCTTACAGATTTGTAACCATTCCTGAAAAGGCTGCTCCTAATTATTAAGTAGTTTACAAACTTGACCTCCAACAGTAACGAAAACCTTCGGGAGTAGGATGTTATGGTCACATTGTTCCATCTCTGCCTTTCCCACTCCACGGTTATGACAGGCTGCAGAAGAAAATGGCAAGATCTCCAGGCTGCAGGATTGCTAGTTGAGAGGCGGGATAAAAGCACCTCTGCAGAGGCCATGGAGCCTGGGAATTTTTTTTGTCTCTCACTTTTTCAAGTGACCTGGCCATGCTGTTGATAATGGTTTTGAACTCCTTCCACAAGTAGTTTAGACAAGGGAGCAAAGATAGATCAGATTGGGTCCTTACGTCACTCTGTACAGTTTGGGGCTGGACTGGAACTTTTGCTGCACCCAGCAGTTTTTGTGAGTAAAGCAAAGACGCACATCTTTTTTTGGTGCCTATGCCTGGTGCAGCGTTTGTAGTTATCTTCTTTAGAGGAGAGTGCAATGGGATCTGTGATAGTCTGGACTGTGCTGACCTGTTCTGCTAAGTTAGCTTGCAACACTCTGGAGGAAAGACCAGCTCTTTGCTGTGCCTTGTTTAGCGTTCGTTAGCAGCTGGGGCTGCCATCCAGACCAGGAAAGTTAGTTCCTACTATATGGCAGATAGTTTATTTCAAGAACTAGCTTGGGAACCTTTCCAAAACCTCAGGTAGCGCAGAATGTAGTAGCTGGCCTCTTAAGTGAAGCAGACACATTTTACTTTGGCAATGTGCTGACTCTTAACCCTCTAAATACAAGTGAAGATGTTTTCTATCCTTTGAAGATTATGAACTGGCCTGGCACAAGATGCCAGACCACGTTACAGGGTTTTACCAGACAACACTTGTTTTTTATCCTAGAATTGAACTCCACAGTGTGAGCAGAAGACTGTTCAGCTGCCAGACTGTCCTGTGTAGAATTCACTGTCTCCTTTGATGCCAGGAGCCACCCTTGTTGTGAGAGCCTACCTACACCCCACAGCTGTCTGCTTCCCTGGTCAGGGGGCCTTACTGATACCTCAACTTTTTAAAAAGCTGCTTGGTGGAAGATAAGGTTATCTAGAAACATGGCACAGTGCTCAGTACTACAGCGCCTGTTTTGCTCTTCATGGCTCATGGCCATGTGTTCAGAGAGCCAGCTGGGAGCTCTGCGGGGACAGGCCCGACATGGCGCACATCAGCATTGCTCCTAGGTCAGCATGGGGGAAGCAGTAGGAAGCAAAAAGAGAATGTACAACACACTGTGGCAGGGATAGCTTACTGTAATGGTCACTGCCCATGAAGAATAGTGACTCTGGACATGGAAGCTCCTGGGAATATAATTACTCTCTGGAGAGAAGTGTGAGTTCAGTAAAAAAATGAATAGCCCAAGGCCAAATGGCAGATATGGTTTCCATGCACTTTACAAGTTCCAGCTCAGTATTCTGGTATTTCATCTTGCAGTGAACTTGAAGCCCTCCTAGAAATGGCCAATAGGCCTTATAAGCCTGTATTCTGTAGCAGCAGATGTTAAGTCCACGCAGGAGTCATCTTGATTAAATGAGTTTGGGCCCAAGCTGAGGCACCAAGCACTCCTTATGTTTGTCTCCAAAGACCTCGTGCTAAGTCACTTCCTAGCACAGGCTTGCAGGTGAGACGCGCATGGATGTTGTCCTGAAAATATCTGTGAAGTTGCCTTTAACTGAAAATGCAGAAGCAGCCCTAGTTCTTCACAGGTGAGGTACACAACCTCACAGCAGCCTGTGTTTGGTTTGCAGCGTATGGCCTTGCTTCTGATCTGGAGGGACCCCTCTGTGTTGTACGGAACCCTGGATTATTTCATCCAACTTTGTGTCTATAGTGTGGGAGTTTAAGTTGGAGCTGTTTGCATAGGTTCTTTGTAGTCCATGCAGAGCCAGTCCTTGGAGTCCATTGTATTAGATGGACTCCTCCTTGAACTCTTTCTGACTGAAACTATTTACAGTTTTTGACTTTCATTGACTGTAAAGAGAGCCCAGATAACTAACACGAATATAGATACCTAGATGGCAGATGCCACAGATGAGTACTCTCTCTGCTTTGCAAAGGGTCCTTCTGGAGCCCATAGAAGGAAGTAGGTGCCTTGGAGGGCAATTCAAATGACACAGCTGAATGACATCTAGAAGAACTTTCTTCTCTCTATTCGTTGCATAGAAAGTTCCAGGATTTGCTTTGGCTAAATATATAAAGATAGGTGAGACCCAGGCTTTGATAGAGATCCGCTTTCATAGCCTCACACTGTTACTCTGGAGAAGCATTGAAATCATCCAATTCATATGCATAAATCACAGAAGATGATTCACCTGACTGGGACTACATTTGAACTGGAAACCTTACATCCCATGATGGATTCTCCAAGTCATATAAGCTATTAACCTTCTTTCTCCTGTTTTTTTTGGTCAGGAAACAGCAAGCGCTTCTCCTGTGATTCTTCGGGTAGATCCAAAAGGCTTTTACTTGTACTGGACCTACCAGAGTAAGGTAAGTGCCAAGATTTCACAGCTTGGTCTCTGACTTGTCAGTTCAAGTTGGTTAAGGATTAAAACACCAGATGGGCTTGAATACTGCATTCGAGAGAGCAAATGACCATTTTCATTCCACTTAGCAGGAAACCCCACACAAAGCATCTGAGAGACTAGTGCTTATTCAATGGCAGATTTGTCTTCGGAGTTCCAGAAAAGAGCAGGAAATCAAGCTACAAACGTGCTAGACAGATGAGCATGGCCTTTTTGTGCTTGTAACACTGGCAGTCTTATGCTTATGGAGTTCATTAGATGTACTTCAAAGGATTTGACAGAGAGGAGTAGCATTGATTTCCCTGTTACCCAGCATGCTAAAGGATTGACCCAAGAGTGTAATGATGAAGTTGGAAGGAAGTCCAGTTGCAAGACATATGCAGTTAGATGTATGCAGCTTCAGCTAATGTGTGCCTTATGTGTAGTCTGTGCTGTAATTAACTGACCTGTTAGTGCTTTAGAGGTTGAAAAAAACAATGAAGGAAGTGATAGCGAAACTACATCAGGTATGGAGAGTGATTTATGCTCCTCTAAGGCCAAGGTGCTGTGTGCACATACTGTCGAGGTAAAGCACAAGATGCTGGTTCCCTTGATGCTGGAGAAAAGTGAGAGGGAATAAATTTAGGAAAGAAAATTCAGTTCCTCACTTTTAAGTAGCAATGAGGGGTGGAGAGATCTGGTAGTCTGGAGATGGAAAGCTGGCCTTACTTCTGCTTTCCAGAGCAGAGCTATGGTTCAGCTCTACTTCCTCCTCGTGACCTACATGCTGAAGAGGCATGGCAGATAAAGAGATACGAACAGTAGTCTTGCACAGCACCCTGGCCAAGAGGCCTTATTGGTGAGGTTTGTTTCCTTGGAAATTTGTGCCCCAGTGCCAGCTGGGATAAGGCACTATCACACAGCTGTATCCTCTGAGAGCACAGTGCTGCAAGGTTGGGGACTGTCACATGCCTCTAGAAGATGCACTCTCCTTTCAGCTGTCTCTATCACTCTCATACTCCCTTTTCAAGGGCTGCTCCTGGTGGTAGAAGTGGAGCTGTAAGGGTTCCAGCCAGACAGCAGGATGAAACGGTAGCTCTGCAGCAGATGTACAGACATGGAGCTGGGGAACTGTGATGGCCCCTCAAAAGTTAGACATTTCACTATGTTACTGTTGTGAGAGATTTAATTATCCAGGAAAGGGGCAGGGATAAGGAAGAGCTGCTGAGATTAAGAAACCCAGACTCGGTGTCTCATTGTTCTGGGAAATGCCATTGGTTAGCACCTAAAATAAAATAAACTGTAAACAAATCTTGAGAGCCACAGTGGAGCAAGTGCTTGTTTTACCTCCTTGGGGAAGCATTTGTCTGGCACCTTTCCCACTCTCTGAAGGAATCTGCAGGCAGTCTGTGAGCTAACAAAGATGATGGGCAGATGAGGGCTGCCAGAGGGAGCTGGTGAAGGTCATGTGCGCAGTGACCAGGGACAAGAGATGGGCTTACACACATGTAGCATAGGGTGGTATGACTGATAGTTTCTGTTGAATTCATGTGGCTTATTAACCTTTCTGTGGCTTACTCTTCCTGAGATCTGCTTGTCAGGAACAGTGAGAGAGAGGGACACAGGGAGAGGAGAGAGGGACACTAGGGGGATGGGGAGAGAGAGAAGAGAAGGGGGGACAGAGAGAGAGGAGAGAGAGAAAGAAGGGGGGACATGGGGAGAGGGAGGGGGGAGACAGAGGAGAGAAAGAGGGAGAGAGAGAAGGGGGACATAGGAAGAGGGGAGAGAGGAGAGGAGAGAGGGACGTGGGGAGGGAGGAAGAGAGGAGAGAGGGACATGGGGAGAGGGGTAGAGAAAGAGAGGAGTGTGGGGAGAGAGAAGAGGGAGAGAACAGGGGGAACAGGGAGGGAGAGAAGAGAGGAGAGGGGGCACGACGGGGGGAGAGAGAGAGGAGGGAGACAGACAGAGAGAGACAGACTACTGCACTGCTTTTGCACTAGGGACTCAGAAAGGAGTGAGGTTAAAAGTAACATTTCCATCACACTTGACAAGAGTATGGGGATATAGCCAGATGATACAGTATCCACAATGTTTTGTATTGTGATCCTGGAAAACTATATTATCTGCTGCAACAGGTATGATTTGTTCTCCAGGTCCATGGTGAGCAGGCAGATTAGTAAGAGAGGAAGGAAGTTCAGACTGAATATTAAAAAAACAGACAAAGTAAACACTAAGTAGCCAGTAGTGAGAACAGGGAGGCTGCAGAGTGAGTTGCCTAGGGAACGTTGTGGAATCTCCACTATGGGAATAGCTTCAGAACAGATTAGGTGAAGGTCTGCTGGGAATGACCCAGGTGGAGATGATCTTGCCTGTCTTCCAGCTCAGTTGTTCTGTGTTGAACATGTAGAGACAAAAGATAGGCTCAGAACATTAGTGAGAGGAGATTCTGGATTGCTTTAACATATGGGCTGTTACTGAGGTAGAATTTCCCTGTACAGACAAGCCTGTAACATGACACACACTCCATCTCCTGTTAGGACTTACATGTCCAGCAAGCAATACCTGACTCTGGCACAGAAGTGAGAGGATGTAATAGTAGTGTAAGAAAGGCTGTGCTCATTCATGCATTGCATCTTTACGTATGCTTTTTCTGCACTACATATTTCCATAAGTTGAATCAAATGGGATGGAGTAGGATGGCCACGTGGCTGATACTAGCACTGTACCATCCCTCTGCAGTGCTTATAGAACATTTCATGTTCTGCCTGGGCTCTGTGGAGATTATCCATTTTCATTTCAAAGATGACACTATCTACTTCCTTGAGTTTTATTTACTCAGCCCTGATTTAGCATCCTCATCGTGCCAATTTGTGGCCTGCCCTGAAGTGAAGGTACAGGTGTGGTAGTGCCCCCGTTCCCTCCTTGCCAATGTAAGGGGTTGGCAAAATTGTTTAGGCTCTGCTATCTCTGTTTCTGCCTGGATCTCTGACCCATCTCAGGCTTTGGGCCTCTCCCATAACCAAATAGTCCAAATAGTGTTACTGTACTGAGGCCAGAGAAGCCCCTGGACTAGAGAAGCCCAGATGTTGGCAGTGAAGATTCAGGAAAACTGGGGCCTGCTGTATGACTAGGCAGGAGCTATGTTTCATCCCACATGTCAGAGCCCTGGTAATCCACAGTGTGCTGCTGGACTCACTGGACTCACCCCAAAGAGGATGGAGTTGCAGACCAATGCCTCCTCTACACTACCCGGCCTGCCAGCTTAACGTGTCAGCAGCTACTGTTTCCCTGCCTACATTGCTCCTGGTGGGAGAGCTCTTCTGCAGTAGAGAGCTCTGCCTAAGACCTGCTTTGCAGTTTCTAGAGACTCTATAATGGTCTTGTCTTTCCTTCTTCCAGTGCCTTCATCTTCCTTGTCCTTATTCTATTGTAGGAAATGGAAATTTTGGATATAACCAGCATCCGAGATACTCGAGTAGGGAGATTTGCTAAAATCCCCAAGGTAAGTGCGTGACTGTTTCTGCCGATGGTTTGCACAGGAAAGGCAAGGCTGCCCAGGACTTCAGCATAAGCTGGGGCAGGTTCCCCAGGGCTCCTCTGTGTGTCCTAAAGAAAGACAGTTCCAGACTCTGGTATATGAGCTTGTTGGAAAGGATATGTCAGAAAGCTGGGAAAACAACAGTTCAACTTCAAAGCGCATGCCAGAAGAGCCCTTTTCTGTTGTGCCCAACAGCTGTATTCTCTCCCCTGCAATGCGTCTGACTGGCTTTATTCTTGACCTGGCCTTATGTTTGTTGAGCTACATGGGAAGTCCTGCAGGAGACTCGTGATACTTCTATACTGAGTCACCAGCGTTTCTCCCTCGTGCGAAGATGCACAGGCCGGGTCAAGGCAGCTACAAATCTGTAATTACAGCGAGATTGAAACCCAAAGTCTTTTTTAATTCCCTTTAAAGGGAAGAATATGTAGTTTCGGGAAAAAGTAGTGTTACAATTTTTATTTTATTTTCAAGCAGGTTTCAATTGTTTGCTTGCAGGGTAGGAGACTGAAGGGAAGCACATGATTACAGCTTTGATTTTGGTTTCAGTAATAATTTAAGCTTTCTTTAGCAAAGTTAGGTATGCTAGGATTTTATCTTGCTATTTTAACCTCTTCATGTGTGACAAAGGCAAGCAGAAAATTGACGTAAGTCTAGAATGGGAAAAGGAAAAAAAGGAGTTGTGAAAAGAAAACAAAGGAGTAAAAATAATGACTCCATATAGTAACATAGGTGGTTCTTAATCTAATGTAAAAGAGGAAGATTTTGCAATATATACTGAGAGACTTGAGCAGCCTTTTTGCGAAAGAAGTATGACTGTTTTCCTAATATCATTGTGAAAATGTCTGTGTAGAGCTCTCTGAGACTCCTGTTTCTTAAAAGAATGTAGTGAGATGGACTATAAGGCATAGCAAGAGCAACACAAATCTCACAATTTTTTAAAAAATTGTATTGGGTTCCTCCTGAGAATCTGAGTTTCTTTTCAGGAATTTTCTAGAAAAAAGTATATCTTTGAGTTTTCAACAAGCCTAAACATTTTGTCTGCAACTTGTTTTGAGGGAATAATATTTGAGAAAAAAAAACTTTCAAACTTTTTTTGATTTGGGGAAATAAAATACTCAGAGCTAATAGAACCAGATGTTACACTTCAGACAGAATGCAGGTATATGAACACTAAGAGAAAGGCCAACTTAAAGAAGAGGCATGAGATGCCATTTTCTATGATGTTAAACTTCAGGAATACCTGTTTAGGAAATAAATTCAACTTTAATGTAGATTATAAATCGATGGTAGAAGTACTGAGGCCAAGGGTCTGAGGCCAAAAATTCCTTTGGTGACAGCAGCCAGGCTGGAGAAGAAAAAGACCTAGATTTTAGTAGTTAGTTAAGGAAGACTTTCATTGGAGACTGTCAGGAAAAATGCTCGCACAAATGCAGTATCATAATTACCCCTAGACAGAGGGAATTTCTGCTCAAATGGCATCTTTCTGTAATGAGCCCTACTCACAGCCAAGGAATTGCTCTGGAAACAAAACCAATCCCTGTTTTCTGAGAGTAATTCACAGTACGGTTTTGGGATGACCATATTCCTTATAAATAGACAAACTGGCACCTTACTGTGTGAGAATGGCCTTTTGAAAGAGGGATTTTTAATAAAAACACCAAAAAGTTTTTGGAAAGGAATATGAAGAAATTCATAAGTAATACCAGGGTAGCAGAAAGCCAAAAGAGGAGGGGAAACAGCAGCTGCGTTCGCAGCCAGCTTAAAATCTTTTCAATAAAATTGGAAAGTGTGATTCCCATCATAATCAAAGCCTCTTACAGAAGAGAATAAGAGCGGAGATCTTTGCATGGAAAAGTACTGCTTGAGGATAGGAAAGAAAAGTAGATAAGTGGTCTCTTGAGAAGAGAGAATCAGTAGAGTCCCAGAAAGATCTGTGCTTGGGCCTGTGACATACTATGTTCATACATGATCTGCAAAAGTGGTGACTAGTGGCATGACAAAGTTTGCCAACGGTACTGAGATATTCGGGGTAATAAAATGAGGGCTGATTTGCAGACTGTCTGTACTGCTGACTGACTGGATGATCACATACAAGATAAAATTCAGTACAGATAAACACCAAGCAACATGCACAGAGGAAAAACAATCCTAACAACAGGCTCTTGAGCTGACCGTTACTACTCAAAAACAAGATCATGACTTTATGATAAATCTGTGAAAACATCAAGTTGGTGTTCAGTACTATTTGCTCAAAAGTGTAAATTATGTTAGGAATTATGAGGAAAGAATTAGGAAATATCATTAAGCTGCTGTATAAATCCTTAATGCATCCATATAAGCATTTTTGGTATCCCTAGCTCAAATGAGATAAAGAGGAACTGGAAAAGGTAGAGAAGGACAGCAAGAGTATTAAAAGTATGAAATGCCTTCTGAATGAAGAGCATCTGAACAGATAGGGACTGAAGTGTGTCAAAAAAAGATGAGGAGGGTGTGGGGGAATATGGTAGAGTGCTGTAAAATCTGGAGTTGAATGGGGAAGGTGAACACAAAGCATTTGCTCAGTGTTTCTTCCAGTGTGAGAACTACGCATCAAATGGAATTTTCCACAGGCAGGTTCAGCACAAGCAAAAGGAGGTGCTGTTTTACATGTTGTGTCGTTGCGCTGTGGGACGCTTTGCTGCACAAGTGGTGAAAACATACGTGAGTTTAAAAAGTCATAGGTCAAGAAGGAAATGCCACTTGAGGCTTATTAAAT